ACATAGACTTAAAAAAAATATATTGCAAGAATTTTTACCTTTTGGAAATAGGATTTGTAAGATTTTAGTAATTGACTCTTTCCTTAAAATGAGTATTCCTGCAACACTGCCACCTCCATTTGATAGTGAACCATTTACCTGGAGTTTGGATTCCAAGGGACCAACTGTTGAAGGTTGAACAAAGTTCAAATTTGTATTTCTTTGAACAAGATTAAGCTACCCGGGTAGGGCTATCTATACTCCTGGAGGGCAAGAGTTTAGGACTCGTAACCAAAATGGATCATATGATTCAGTTACTGTCTCACCAGTGGGTTTCATTCCCAGGAAAGTTTACTCTTGATTCAGTGAGACTGAAAAAATAACAATGGAGCATTCTTGGGGTGAAAGGGTTTATACCCAATTTTATTCTCACGGTGGCAGGTTAAGTGCTAGAATCGCGTCTGCCTCAGGGAAAGTCTGCATGCAGCAAGCTGGTCTCTGCCTCCAGGCCTCTCCACCCCTGCAGCTGTCTCAGTCTCTGTCCTTGGCACCGCCACACTCCAGCTCCTGCTCTCCTGCATCCATACAACCTGGAGCACAGGGTGGAACTCTATAGAGTCAGTGATAACGTACTGCCCACACGTCTGCAATGGGCCAGCTGACCAGGGTCAGGTGATAATCCTGGCCATAAGAACTTTCATTTTCTCTACAGTTACTAAACCCTGAGTTTAGAGGCCCTTTTCAGATGAAGGCATGTGAATATTAAGATTCTCTGGGGTCAGAATGTATGGATTACCTGCTGTGTATCAACCAGGGGGCAATTTTATCTATGACATTTCTGGTATCCACTTTCCCACAACAAATTTGCCCCAAGCCTAGTGGCTAGGTAGAAAAGAGTTCTTGAGGCACTCCAACTGGGATGCCCAATGTGTGGGGCCAGCCAAAACTCAACCAAAAGGCTCAAGACTTGGGGTCTACTCCAAGACCAGGTCTAGATTTTCAAGTCCTGCTTGTTCTAGGGAAAAGCCTGTTGAAGGGCCATCTATGTGCCAAGGCCTCAAACCCACTCTTACGTTTCTTGACCTTAATTATCTAAACCCATTAAATAGATGTGAATGCTAAAAAAAGGGGGAAAAAAAGAGATAGAACCCAGGCAACAAGAACATTATGATTTGGGAAATTGTCAACATGTTGAGATTCCAAAAGTGCTGAAATTAAGATAGTCACTGTCAAGGAAGTTTATTCTATAGAATAAAGAGAATGTACAAACTTTCACTAATTTCTCAGAAAATTTTCTTTGAAGAAATTAAGTGTAACTCATAGCTCCTTACAGACATCTCAAGAGCAGCCAAAAATAGAGGTGGGATTATTTAAGAAAGATCTGTAGAGTAGCTTCTAGTGCTCCTTGATATACACAGGAGATCCAAAGGTTCTTGTGAATTTTACATCAGCAGAAACACCGCCAGCTTAGTCTAAAAGGGATAGCATACAAAAGTAAAAAAGCATATTGGACCTATAAAATTTTACTAGTAGGTACAGGATAACAAAATTGAACTGTAAACACATGTGACATTTCATGGGGGAAAAAAGCAGGCTAGAGAATGAAGCAATGAACCATAAAGAATTATTCACAGATTGTGAAACCAAACCGAATTTGCCCAGCTGGATTTTGAAATTGCTTGGGACCAGTGACTTCCTTTTTTGACTTCTATATTTTTTTCCTTTGTTGTACCAAAATGTCTGTAATTGTTATCATATGCCTGTATATTAGTACGTTGGGAGCAGATAAATTTGTTTCTCCAGTTTCACAGGTCCACATAAGAGAGAGGAATTGTACATCAGGATTGATCATAACCCAAACCTCACTCATATCTAATTAAATTACTTAATGATGAGATTTGCAGTGTTAGAGCTGATGAGGTTAAGAAGGGATTTTGAACTTTGATTTGATGCTACAATGGTTTGACTTCTGAGTACTTTCAAATAGGTTGATCTTGCATGTGAGTATGATGTGAATATCTGAAGGCCAGAGGTGGACTGTGGTTAGCATAATACCTCCCAAAAGATGTTCAAGACCTGATACCTGGAATCTGTAATATTAACCCTTCATGGCAAAAGGACTTCACAATAACTTAAAGCTACTTCATTATCCCAGGCATGATACAGTAATGAGGCTCACCCACAGACCAATCCTGCATAGATCTAGGAGAGGATATGGAGCAGGCAGGATGGAAAACTGCATTTGGGAAATTGGAGATGAGAAGGGACTACATCTGCATGGTGAGTAAACCAGGTTCTCAGCTGTGTTGACTCCCTGCTAGATACTGCAGTTACTTTATGGTTCCCTTGAGAGGCTAGGGCAGCCCAGTGGGAATAAGATGCAATTACTTACTGCTATGTCATCTCTAACTATTACTTGGGAATCATTGAATACCTGTGGGATGATAAAGAAAAGATCCTTGAGATTCAATTGGTGCTAGTAATTTAGCACCACATGGTGGTAAAATGCTTGATTACTAGTTTAATAAAGGTTCAAGTTGGAAAGTCAAAATTGGTTATTGCTAGTAAGTAGGAAATTTGCTTATTTTTTAATACCTCTTCCCTTTCATTTTCTAAGGTTTACTGAAAAATTCAAAATCATTCACTTGTTTCCCAATTAAGTAATAATGGCTCTGAATTTTAAAGATGTTTATGTATTTATAATCTAAAAAGCTGATTTAACTGCACTGTTCAAAAATAAGAAAATTCATAAGCCACCAGAACTTTCTTGCATCCTATGGGAAACTAGGTACCCTACAAATGATAAAAAATAATTTATACTACTGAGGTGGGGTGCATAATTCTCCAAATTAAATACTGCAACTAATAATATACATCATTTAGTGTTTTTTTGTAACTTTGCAGTAACTAATAATCTGAATACAACATTGACTCTTGAACAATCTCTTAAAGATTCCATTTCCACACTAATATCTGAGAAATGGTGTAAAAGTTTGAGATTACTTTGAAACAAATCAGGTTTTTCTTTAATAACAAGGCTAAAATTACTGTGTAAAGTTCAGGTTCAAAATCTAAACCTCCTTTTAGTATAACACCATCAGTTTATGTATTTGTTACGCTTCAGGATGAGACTGATAAAAAGTACACCAGGGGGTAAAAGGAAATCTAACCATGTAACTCTCTAGGCAACCCAGAACAGTTTAGGAAGTGAATAAAAATATTATCTGGAAGAGTATTGGTGTTGCACTGATACTCAGGCACCCCAGCCTATTCACTAGATAACAGCAAATCTATCGTGACTAGTAATGTAGGCATCGTACAAGGCATACAGAAGGACTTTGAATGTGTAGCCTTAGTCCCAATCCTGCCCATAATTGCTGGACAAACAATAAGCCCCCTGGGCATCCATCATCAACAGCATGAAGTTGAGTGAGGTAAGGCCTTCTAACTTGTGGCTTTCAGTAGGTGGACCATGATGGGCACCAGTGCTGTTTGTGGTGATAGTCCTGGCTATTTGGGCTTCTCTGAGCTTTCAGACTTGTAAGTTGCCGTTTCTGATAAGCTTTGATAAATTTTTGGTTTCAAATATTTTGTCTGTGCCATCATCCTTCTCCTAAGACTCCTTTGCACCTAAATTGTCCCACAAGTAACTGAGGCTGTTTATTTTTTTAATCCTTTCCCCCCGTGCTCCAGTTTGGATGAATTCTATTGATCTAAGTTCACGGGTCCTTTCTTCTGTTCTATCTACTCTTTTTCCCCCTCTGATGAATTTGATTTCAGGTATTGCACTTTTTAGTCCTCAGATTTCCACTTGTGTTTCTTTTATTAGTTTCCAAATTTCTCCTGAAATGCCCATCTCTTTACACATAATTTTTTTCCCTAGATTCTTTAACATGTTTCTGTTATTTAAAACTCATTTGCTAAATTGTTCCTGTTGACTCATTTTTCTTAAAACTTTGGGTGAGTTTTCCTTTTTTCCCATTTACACACCCACACACAGTTGGGACATTGTGGATGATATACTGTAGAATCTTTAGGTCATGTTATATTCCTCTGAAAAGTAAGCTTTTTGAGCAGACAATTAAATTATAGGTGGATCACCTTAAACTTGCGGAAGCTCTGTTTTATGCTTTGTTAGGTGGTTCACTCACAAATAACTAACACTGTTAAGAAATTCAGGCTTTTAGAGAGGTGTGTCATCTCTTTTAAGGCCATCCTTTTAGCACATTATTGCTGGCTCATGTGACTGAAAAACAAATCCTCCAGGGTTTCAATGGGAGGACTGGGGTGTTTCGAAGCCTCTGTGACTGGGTAGGACTTGAACTCCAAGGACTTGTACAGGAGCTGAAATAACTGCTCAGTTCTTCCAACCGCCCATCTATTGCTGTCCTTTTGGGTTCCTTGGAGTCTCACTGGAGCAGGGCCAGGGCCAGGGCCAGGGCCAGGGCCAGGGCCAATCAAGAATTTGAGGGAAAAATATTTCTCCCTCCCACAGTGTGACTCCTTCTTTTCTTGGATTTCCCCCCTCAGTGTCTAGCTGGGATGGCAGGTCCATCATTCCAGGAAGGGAGAGGGCACTTTGCTGCTTGCATTCTATCTGCACAGCCAACAGAGATCAGCCTCAGGGGAAAGCGTGGCTCCTTTCTTTGGGAGTCAGATTCCCTCCAGTTTCAGTCTGGTTTTGGTAACTTCAGTGTCTTCAAAAAGTTTCTTTTTTTTTCCTTCCTATTTCATCATTTATCATTAATCATCATTATGTGATACAAGCAACTCTGCCATTATTGGAATTGGAAACCCCTTTAAAATTTTCAATGTCTGTGATTCTGATTTGTAATTCTATTTTAACATTAGGTATCTGTTGTTCTTTTTGTGTTACCTTTTTTCAAATAACTAACACTCAAGAAATTCGGACTTTTAGAGGGGTGTTACCTCTGAGGTCATCCTTTTAGTGACTGAAAAACAAACATGGCAAAATAATAGGAAAAAATGAAGTATAAAGGAAAATATGAAATACACAAAAGTGGCACCATATGCTCAAATTTATTGAACAGACACAAGTTACACATTGGAAACTAAGCAGAACGCCGTACCAGTTTTCACTAACTCAAATCAAGTTAGCACATGTCAAATTTTAGAACACACACATTTTATGTCTCACCCAATGTGGGTGATCACAGAAGAAGCTAAACAAAGCAAATTACTTTCTATGTTGCTTAGGTGGCAAGTTAATGTGATATACAAGGCTTCCAAGTTACTTTAAGATTTTTCGAAGTGTTTCAAAACTAGTCGGGAATAGTTTATGTCTAGACTGAAATAAAATGTACAATGGACCTTTGAAGAGGTAAATAACTTTGTTTGTATATCCATAGCAGAATTACTCTTTCCTGTTAACAAAAGTACTAATAAATCTCCACTTAGATTAGGTTTACTAGATTAATAACAACTCTGAAATTATCTAGGTTTGGTTATATTGTTATATTGCACTTGAGAGCAAAGACAACAAAAATAAAAGATTCCGTATCTCTCTGAAGAAGTCCATTATGTATTGGAAATTAGAGTGAAATATAAGCATATATGTATGCTACCTGTCCACAGATAGGTTCATCATTCGAACTAGCCTACCAACAAGTTAAAAAAGACACTGTCCACTGAGTATTACAGTCATTTCATGCACCATTTTTGATATATTTAATTTTCAAATTTTATACATTTTTTTCAGTTACCAAATATACATAGGCTATCCAAGGACACAAACAAGGTGACACTGAGATGGGCAATAGTCACACACAACTATTCCAAGAATGACTTCTTCCTCCCACGCTTGGCACTACAGCCTACAGCAAAGGAACATCTATCAACTTCCAGATTCTGTTTGCCTTATCTATTATATACTATACTTTTGCCACATAGATCTCTTAGGGTTACAATTCACTGTCAAAAGTCTTCCACAGCCCTCTTACAAAGCCAGTATAGTCTCTTTTACTAATACTTAAATTTTTTTCTGTATATGAAGTATTAGTGAGAATTTGCTAGAAATAAGTACTTTTATAACAGGTAGAATCATGGCACATATTTGATTAATTGTCTTATACTTTGGAATTTTAAAGAACTTAATTAGAATTACAGTAATAATTAATTGCAAGGGAAAGGGAAGATATCCCTTGCACAAATATTTCTCAAAATATCAATTCTGAAATAAATGCCTATATAAGAAAACAAGTTTCAATATTTCTTACCAGTACCTCACTCACCTGTTTAAAACTAAATCAGATTATAAGAATTGTACACTCAAAATGGATGTCAATGGATGTCAAATTCTCAATAAACCATAGACACAGTAATATTTAAAATATTTGAAGATTAAAATAGTAATTACATGACTATTTTTTGACATTTTAACCACATACATTCACATACTACTTTAGGGTACAAAGAATCCCAATATTTTCCTCAAAGAGTTGGCTTTTAAATTATTACTTCTACCATATTTTTGTAGGGATATAAAATTTCATTTTTAAAAAGAAAATACTATTGCTTAAAATTACATTTCATAAAGCAATTTAAAGCATCATGTTAATTTCTAATAATATTCTTCAATCACCTATACAAGATCATACCTTGAGATAGAAACCATAAAAAGCATAGATGGTACAAAAAGCAAATAGTAACTTTTTTTCAAAGAGTGAATTTCTACCCTACATATATTGTCAGGAATGACTACTACTACGTGGGAAAACAAGGTGAAATTTGCTATAGACCAACTTAGTCTGGTGGCAGGCCCTAGGATAAAAATTTTTTTTCTTAAAATACTCTAGAGATTTATTGCTAATAAAAATACTGCATATGACTAAGATCTTTTAAGTTACCAGTAAAATCTATACTATAAAACTATTAATTTTGAAATTCACTAAAGCTAAGTACAGGGTCTTGTCTATGTTCTAATTCATTTAACTTACCTATGCCTCTATGTTATGAATATATTTGAGCTTAAGTCATTTGTGTAGGAAATTATACCACAAGACATGGTAAGATAAATTTCAATTACTTTTAAAATATAGAAAAATATTTAATTATTTAAGGGAAATCTTTATCATTGTCTAATAAAGACAGCAGTTAAAAAGCTATTAAACTCTTAATTTCTAATGCACAACATGAAGTAATTGCACAAAAATAGGTATAATTAATAGTCATCCTCAGGCCTTGAGGACCTCTGAATAAATCACATATTGCTGTAGAGGATTTATCACCCTACAGGCATATAAAACTACCACTTGCCACCTGTGCAGATTTTATTTAAAAAACCAAGAAAATGTAATTTGTTAATAAACCTAAGAAAGTTTTAAAGGGTTTCTAAGAATTTGAATTACTTACAAAAGTAACTTTTAGAAATCATTTTGAGAGCTGAGACTGATTTTACACATTATACCCTGCTTAAACTGAGGTACTATCCATGTGAGTAGCATCATGCTATTGCTAGAAGTAAACCAGGGAGCTACTTTAAAATTTTCAATTCCAAGCATTTCTCACAGGGTTGGGGGGCTGGATGCAGGTTCCTGTAAGTTGTAGAGATTCCTTGTTGATCTTGTTGTTCTCAGTAATGGTTTTGGAAATATAAGGAAAAATGCATACATAGGAGAAAAATAAATTAATCCCAACTAAGAACCCTTGCTCTAAGAATATACTATTAATAAGCAACTCTATTAAGAAACTATGAACACAGTCTTTTAATTTTAAAAAAAAATACTTTTTTTGTATTGTAAATAGCCAGACTAATACATGGAAAAATGTACCTTGGAAATGATTTCCAACTCTATATGGCTTTAAGCATCATTATGTTTAGCAGAAATTAAACTATTACACAAAAGATGCATTTCTGATTACAGAACTAATTTTTTAGTATAAGTTGGATTTGAAATAAACTTACAGAAATTAGGATGTAATAAAACAGAGTGTGGATTAAACATAAATAAAAATTTAATAGCCTGTATCCAATTTTCATATTAAAATAAAATATTATACCTTCCTTATTGCAGGAAAGGATTTTGATGGGATCATACTTTTTTTTTAAAGTTCTATCATTTATGTAATATCAAAATCTAAGCTCATGCAGTTACAAAGTTAATAGCTTGAAAACTCAGCTGTAGTGTAATGTGTATTAACATTAAGTCTCTGTACAAAGGATGTGGATACTAAGGTCCCAATTTGGATTGCTTAAAAACCAAAAAAAACAAACAAAATCCAACATTCGAAATCAGAAAGTTATTGTAGGAGGTACTATTTTATATAAAGTGGTAACTCAGGCACTACTGTCTATATACACTGAAGAAGAACTAGCACTTGAAATTTTATTATTTAAATACCTAAAAACACAAGTCAGTGCTGTGTATTAAATGTATGTCTAAACTTAATTGTAATGAAAAGTTGACAAATATTGCTCTCATTTTGTGGTTAATACCAGTGGGCACCATCAGCAGTACAGTCTTGGAATTTTATTCCTCATGAAGGAAACTGAAACCTATAGTGAAGTTGGTAATTCTACTGGGTCACGATATAGCATAATTTAAAAATCACAGTTAAGTCTCCGAGTTTCCTTCACCATTTTCATGAGGTTGAAGTTGTTCCCTTTCTTGTTCTTCTTGAGGTGGCCGAACACGTTTAAAAAAGCCCATCTGTCAGTTGAAGAACAACTAACATTACTGCCACACCAGTGAAGAATTATCACCAAAAAAGTTTAAATGACACTCAGTATAATTTTCCTTCCTTCCAGGAATGCTCATGACGTATCACTGATGGCCCCTTTCTTCCTCCCCTTCCTTTTCCATCCTTCCCTCTTTCCCCGCCTCACTTGGCCTTTTCTTCTGCTTCCCCTCCCCTCCCTTTCTTCTTAAGCCCATTACTTACCCTGTACATTACAAATACCAGAACAGCCAGTAACAACAATCCTGCTAGAACTGCTAAAATGATCACCCACACAGGCACAGGCATGGGTGCTGGCTGAATGCCCCAGGTGACATTAGTGGTAACCTGTTGAGGGAGAAAAGTCTTTGAGTTTTAAAAATAGTTCACTGAATTATTCAACAAATACCTGAATGCCTACTATATTTTTATGTTAACGATATTCACATTATTTCTTTCCTTGTATATGTAATTTATGATTGTGTATTTGGTATTGATAGCATGCACAGTCAAAACTTGACAACAACAGGTTAACTTCTGAAATGATTTTCAAATAACCCAATTCAGTTTATGATGTATTGGTCCCATTTTTAATCCTCAAATTAAAGAACTTTAAGATGCCCTTGCTTATTGTAGTTAATTTCCAACTTTTTAACAAAATTTAGTTTAATGCAAGCATCTCTTACAAAAGACATGCTAAAATAATAACCTTAGTAAGTCTGGGGTAGAGGGGGTAAAATAATAATCCTAAAAGTAGGTTATAATCCTTACCAAGTAACTCTTAATTACTGTAAATCATCAAAATAGTTAAACTGCCATTATTTAAAATAAATTAATATCTCTGGCATTGAACTGACTGCCCTTATTCTATTTCCCCAAATCAATGACTTACTAATGTGGAGTTGAAGATATCCTCAATTGGAAGGTTCTTGTAAGGAAATTCTATGACATTAAATGAAGCAGATGACTTCAGAGAATATGAATGATTCTGGTTTTCTTTCTGTATGGAAATAACAATGAATGATCTCCTAGATGTGAGGTCTTTCACATTTCTTTGAGAAATGAGTAAGTTTGGTGAATGCTGCATCTGTCTACTTACATTCATAAAGGTCTCAGTCCACAGCAGAGACTTGACATACAGGATCGCACTCTTTCCTCTGTCTAGTCGCCCAACCTGGCAGATAATCTTCAAGCATTCAGCAATTCCACAACCCTACCAAAACAATTTATTTACTTACAAGAAAAGGGAATTCTATCATCTCTCCAACATATGAAAATTACACATTTTACTTGTTTTATGTGGAGGCTAAAGAGATTACCTAATACTTTTGCCTTACAGGTATAATGTTTAAATAAACAGGTTAGTAGTTGAGTCTATGAATGCTTTTTGTTATGAAGGAGTTGGTTTTAATGTGATTTATTATAGAAGGATGTGATGTGCTACATAGAAGGATAAGATCCATAATATTAAAAGATTTATTTTATTTTATTACTATTTTTTTTTGAGAGGGCATCTCTCATATTTATTGATCAAATGGTTGTTAACAACAATAAAATTCTGTATAGGGGAGTCAGTGCTCAATGCACAATCATTATCCACCCCCAGCCTAATTCTCGTCAGTCTCCAATCTTCTGAAGCATAACGAACAAGTTCTTACATGGTGAACAAATTCTTACATAGTGAATAAGTTCTTACATGGTAAACAGTACAAGGGCATTCATCACAGAAACTTTCGGTTTTGATCACGCATTATGAACTATAAACAATCAGGTCAAATATGAATATTTGTTTGATTTTTATACTTGATTTATATGTGGATCCCATATTTCTCCCTTTATTATTATTATTAAAAGATTTATTTTTATGCCTAGAACTCAACATTATTCAGGCAAACCCAGAGCATGATTAATTTTTAGTAAGACATAAAAATCAGATCACAATGTGCCTGTGGAAAAAAGAAACAGTGAATCTTTAACAGTTATTCCAAGCCAGACCTTTAGAAATTAAGTGGTGTGCTCATGGTCTTTGTCGCATTAGTGTTTTTATCAGCAAACTTGAAGGCAGTCAGGCAAAGGTAACCAATATCCACCACCTTCCATGTGTGGGTCAAACCACATTAGAAGTGTCACATGCATAGTCACAACAATGCTATCAAGTAAATGGCACTTCCAGTTGATGATGAGAAACAGAAGCGAGCTTCCTTGACATGGTAAGGGGCATCTATGAAAAACCTGCAGCTAATATCATCCTTAATGGTGAATGAATGGATGCTTTCCCCCTAAGAGCAGAACAAGACAATGATGCTTACTCACAACACTTCTATCAACATTGTTCAGAAGGTTCTAGCCAGTGGAATTAAGAAAGAAAAAGATTAAATAAAAGGTATCTAGATTGGAAAGGAAGTAGTAAAACTATTACTATTCACAGATGACAGGATCTTATATATATATAGAAAACACTGAAGAATCCACAATAAAACCATTAGAGCTAATAAGCAGATATAGAAAAGGTACAGAATATAAGATCAATATACAAATATGAGTAGTATTTCTATACATTGGTAATGAAAAATATGAAAATAAAATTAAGAAAATAATTTTATTTAAAATAGCATCCAAAAAGAATAAAGTATGTGCAAGTAATCTAACCAAGAATGTGTAAGACTTGTACACTGAGAACTACAAAATATTTTTGAAAAGAAATTAAGACCTAAATAAATAGATATCTCATGTTTAGGACTGAAAGACTTAGTACTAAGATGGTAATACTCCCAAATTGAAAGATTCAATAAAACTGCTACTCAAAATTCTAACTTGCTATAGTTGTAGAAATGGACAACCTGATACTAAAATTCATACAGAATTACAATGGATCCCAAATAGCCAAAACAAACCTGAAAAATAAAAAAATGTTTGAGGGTTCACATGTCCCAAGTTCAAAACTTACTGCAGAGGTACAATAATCAAAACAATTTGGTACTGGCAATAAGGATACATACACAGATCAATGGAATAGAACTGAGAATCCGGAAATAAACCCATACATTTATGGTCAACTCATTTTCAAAAAGAATGCCAAGATCATTTAAGGCCAAATGATGCTTGGACAACTGGATAGCCACATGCAAAAGAATGAATCTGGGCCACTACTTCACACCATATATAAAAATTAACTCAATATGGATCAGAGATATAAATATAAGAGCTAAAAGTATACAACTTAGAAAACCAGAAAACTTAGGTGTACACCTCCAAAACCTGGGGCTAGACAATTGTATCTTAAATATGACAACAAAAGTATAATCAACAAAAGATATAGACTTGAGAAAAGAAAGTTGTACTTCTTTGAATTTCTAAAGTTTTTTCATCAAAGGATGTTACCAAGTAAAAAGATGCTATCACTTATAGAATGAGAGAAAGTATGCAATAACAGCTCTCAAAAGGGTGGTATCCAGAATGTATAAAAAATTTTTTATGACTCAACATCAAAAGGCAAACAGCCCATTTTGAAAATGGGAAAAGGATTTGAACTGACATTTCTTAAAAATACATGTATATAAACGAAGATGCTCAACATCATTAGTGAATAGGAAAATAGAAATAAAACTACAATGAGATAGCATTTTACACTGACAAGGGTAACTGTAAGAAAAAAATTTTTTTAAAGGCAATAGTTAAAAACAACAAGGATGTGAAGAACCTGGAACCTCATACACTGCTGGTTGGGAATGTGAAATGGTGTAACCTCTTTGGAAAACAGTTTGACAGTTCCTCAAAAGTTAAAGAGAGTTTGCATATGACCCAGCAAGTGTATTCCCAGGTTTATTCCCAAGAAAACTGAAAACATATGTTCACACAAAAACTTGTACATGAATGTTCACAGTGACACTATTAGGAATAGACAAAAAGTGGAAACAACTCAAATATTCATCTACTGATGAATGAATAAACAAAATGTGGTATATCCATGGAATGGAGTATCATTCAGCTATAAAAAATGATTGAGGTACTAATCTGTACTAATGTTGCCAAAGTACTAATTTGTTGTAACAGGGTGAACCTTAAAACATTTTGCTAACTCTCTGGAAGACTTGTGCCAGGGGATGATCATCAAAAAGCCTCCACAGGGATCCGGACGATGCTGCGGTTGTGGCTGCATCCAGCCCACCGTCTCCTGGACTTGCCATAGGAATGAGGAGGGAGATGTCTAGGCTGGCATGTGCATACAGTGAGACAACGAATTTGACCGGATCTGTACTGTTGGAACTCAACCAGGAGTTGGGAGGGGTGCAAGTTGTAGCACTCCAAAATCTCATGACTATAGACTATCTATGGTTAAAAGAACATATGGGATGTGAACAGATCCCAGAAATGGGCTGCTTTAATTTGTCTGATGGTTCAAGTACAGTTGGAAAATATCCATCATATCATAGATAAATTTTCACAAATGCCTAGGGTGCCTAAATGGTTTTCTTGGCTTCACTGGAGATGGATGGTAATTATAGATTTGCTTTGTTTATGTCACCGTATTCCTATTATGTTAATATGTGTGTGCAAATTAGTTAGTAGTTTAAAACCTATACATACTTAAGGTACTATACAAGAAGATATGTCAAAGAAATAATCAATCCTCCCATGTTTCCTTCATATGCTACATCTATAGCTTTTCTTCTTCCTTCCTAATTACAACCCTTAAATAGAATTCGTGCCTCATATCGAATTTACCGAGTATCATAATTCCTCCAGGTGGTAAAGATACCTCGAGACAAGTGCTGGGCATAGAAGCCACAGGGCATAAATCTGCAAAGAAGTAAAAAGCTAACCTTTGCAAACAATATGGCTTCTCTCTCACTTACCAACTTTACATTTCCCTGTATGGCCCCGGAAGATGACTGGTTAGCCAGAGACGGGTAAGATTCCTCAAGGGAGGAACAACCTAAGACAGGCACAGTCGCAGGGGGGCCATCAGGTGAGAATTTGGGGATCAACAGAGGTGAGGCTCAGAACCTCACCCCCCCTGCTTTGAGAGAAATCTTCTGCATCCGTGGATGTCTTGCTGCCCTTGTCTAGCCTGGATTAATACTTAGTCCATAGGCACACACCTGATCATCTGATCATCTACATTTGCCTTCTTACAGCACTAAACTATGTTTTCTACCTTTATCTTGCATCTACCTACCACTTCAGCATTTTATTAAAAATAAAAATAATAATAATAATAGGAGAAATGTGGGATCAACATATAAATCAAGTACAAAAATCAAATGAATATTCATATTTGACCTGATGGTTTATAGGTCATATTGCATGATCAAAACCGAAAGTTTCTGTGATGACTGCCCTTGTACTGTTCACCATGTAAGAATTTATTCACTATGTAAGAATTCGTTCACCATGTAAGAACTTGTTCGTTATGCTTCAGAAGATTGGAGACTGACGAGAATTAGGCTTGAGATGGATTAATGATTGTACATTGAGCATTGACCCCCCTATACTGAATTTTATTGTTGTTAACAACCATTTGATCAATAAATATGAGAGAGGCCCTCTCAAAAAAAAAACAAAAAACATTATGCTAAGTCAAAGAAGCCAAATGCAAAAGGCCACATATTGTATGAGTTCATTTATAGGAAATGCTCAGAACAGACAAATCCTTAGAGACACAAAATAGATCAGTGGTTGCAAGGGGCTGATGGTAGGAGAGAGGGTAACAACTGCTTAACTGATACAGCGTTTCTTCTTGAAGTGATGAAAGTATTTTGGAATTAGATAACGCTGGTGATTACATAATTGTGTGAATATATAATAAAAATCACTAAATTGTATGCTATACAATGGTAAGAATGGTTGAATTTTATGTTATACAAGTTTACTCTCATTTTCCTAAAAAAATGTAGGCTGGTAGAGAGTTCAGAATCAAAAGTAAGATAGGGGTTAAAAGAAATTTCTATTCCACATGGGTTGGTCAGGGAAGCCCTATCATAATCTGACATTTAAAGACAGCAGAAGATGGGAAAATAAACTATGGAATTATCTGGACAAACAGGATTCCAGGTAGACAGAAGAGCAATTTTCAAAGCCTGAAAGTAGAAACATGCTTGGGAATGTCTGTTCAGTGAAAAGAAAGGTGGCCAAAATGGGAGGAGTAGGGTAAGGAAAGGAAATGCAGGTAGCAGGGCCTAGATCTTGTTAGGCTTTACTGATATTAGGCTGACTCTGGCTTTCTCTCCGAGTTAGATGGGAGGGCACCAGACTGACCGACCTGATCTATATTGAAAAGGATCATGATAGCTTCTGTGAGGCATATAAACTGCAGTGGGGAAAAGGGTGAAAATATGGAGTCCAACTCGAGGTTTGGCAATAGTCCAGGTGAGAGAGGAAGGTGGGCTGGGTTAGGGTGTGGCAGTGGTATAGCTGGTGAGAAGGGGCTGGATTCTGGGGGTTTTGAAAGTAGAACTTGCTGACATATAGGATGTGAGGCTTGAGAGACAGTAGTTAAGCATGATGCCTGGGTTTTGGACAGAGAACAGAGCTGACATTTACTAAAACTGGAACACTGTAGAAAGAACAGAGTTGGAAAAACTCGGGAATGTTCTTATAATTACGTTTAAGACTCCTATTAAATATTTAAGAGGAGTTCTAGTAGGCAGTTGCATAATGGAGTCTGGATCAGGTTGGAAATATAAATCAAAGTCATCCAGAGATGATATTTACAGTCATGAGAGTGAGTACAATAATCTAGCACAGAACTGTCTGATAGAACTTTCAACAATGATAGAAATCATCAGTACCTACACTTCCCAAAGCAGCAGCCACTAGCCACATGGCACAACTGAATACTTAAAAGGCAGCTGGTGTCTACAATATTGGACAGCACAAATCTAGTGAATGAATGCCGATGGAGCAGACAAGAAATCTGAGATCTGAGTCCTGGAATACTCTGTAAGAG